TTTTTTTTTTTTGGTATCAGGGATTGAACTCAGAACTTTGTGCTTGCAAAGCAGGCAGTGGAACCACTGAGCTAAATCCCAGGCCCTCAGTAAATATCTGTTATGTGGTAATGTGCATCCAAAGCACTAGCCTCTAAGAAGACTGAAAAAGGACCATCACCTGAACCCAGGAGCTTGAGGCTAGTCTGGGCAACATATGAGACCTGTCTCAAATAATTAAATGAATACTTATTGAATGAATAGATGATAGGGCACTGTAACTGTCACTTTTACTATTATCACTGCTCTGCTGAGCTTCCCTTCCCTTTCAAAGAGACTCGATGCCTTGGGTAGCCCTTGTCCCCAAGACACTCACCCCCAACCTGGGCAGTAAGCCCACAGCAGGGTGATGGGAGGCAGGTGACAGGCGTAGAGGAGGACCTGGGGAGAGGCCACTGCAGACTGAGCTCCAGCTCACCTGGTAGACATTGGGGACCATGCTGGTGGCCGAGCTCCAGTGGGCACTGAGCTGCACAGCCAGGGGTCGGCCATCCTCTGACAGAACACGCACTCGGGGCGAGCTGACCAGCAGGGACACCACACTGAGCCGCTCCTGCTCCAGCGGGTTGAAGAGTACCACAAACCTGTGTGTGGGAGGTGACAGGGCAGGGCCAGCGGGCAGGACAGGGGCCTGCAGGGGGCTGAAGGTGCGAAGTGGGGAGGGTGCTGGGGATCTCTGGGCACCTGGCCTAGTGCGGCTCACCTGGGCGAGGCGTCCAGCTGGATCACTGTGCGCTCTGGCAGGGCGTCGTGACCGGAGCGGGTGTCATCCTAGAGCAGAGCAGCCAGAGGAAAAGGCATCAGGGGCCTGGCCTTGTCCCCATCTGGCCCAGGAAAGAAAGACAGGACCCCAAGCAGGTCCAGCGGGGCTCACCACTTGTAGGAAGGGTGCCCCAGGGTCAAAGCGGTAAGTCTCCTTGTCCCCCAGCACCAGGTAGTGAGCCGCATTGATGATGACTTGCTTCAGGCTGACGAGGGAGCGCAGAAGCCTGTGTGGACAGCATGGGGAGCCGGAGATGACCACAAGGGCTGGCCCCCCCGGAGCCGGCCCACTGCCCACTTGAGCGACCTCTCTGCAACAGAGAATGCTGTGGAGCTGCAGAGGGAAGAGGAGGCTCCCACCTGACCCCGTAGTCCACCACCACGGCCTCCTTGGCGGTGCCAGTGATGGCATCGTGGTGCTGGAAGAGCCCCAGAGTGCGCCGGGCCTCCGTCAGGAGAGTGAAGTCGGACAGTGGGTACCGCGTAGCCAGGCCAGAGTGGCGGGCGTGTGCCACGGCCAAGCTGTACAGGATCTCTGCCCCCCTATGGAGAGAGGCGTCACTGCCTGCCACCCGCCCTATGCCTGTTTCCTTCTCCTCCTGTCACTCTTCTGCCACCTTGGCCTCCTGCAGGCCCAGCTGGCCTTCAACCCCAAAGGCTGACTCCCCCAAGCCTGTGGTGAGTGTCTCACCGCAGATGGGCTTCTAGGACACGATCCAAGCTCTTGTAGAAAGGCCGGGAGGTATAGTAGCCCGTCCAGTAGTGGTCCTCCCGGTCCGCGTAGGAGAAGAAATCCCCGCTCAGCACTGGGAACCCCGGGGGCCGGGCCCCTGGCTCCACACCTGTCTTCTTGTACAGAGCATCAAAATAGTCTGAGAGGGTACCAAACTGGGCCTGTGGGGACCCCAAAACCAGCTCCCATCAGTTCCGTGGCTTCCTGGGAACTCAGGCCACCAGTGTGGCAACAATGTCCCACCTCTCTGGGCCTTACAAGGAAGCTGAGACCCTGGGAATAAATCCTGAACCCAAGAGTAGGAAGAAAGCCCTGCTGGGACCCATTTGTGGGGAGTAGGGGCCTTCCCAGGAAGACTGAAGGCTGCAGCACTAGGACCCCCCACTCCAGCAGCCAGAGCCCCCCACCTGCACGTGGAGCTCAGGCTTGCTGTTGAGGAAATCAAAGAGACGCTGGTAGCTGAAGAACTGTGCGTCCCACTCCTGGGGCTTGTCATATCGGAAGTCATCACCCAGCGGCACCAGCAGGACATTGCTGCGGAATAGCCGGGACTTCTTCCGGTACTGGTCCAGGAGCAGGGCTGCCCTGGAAGGGAAGACAAGACAGGCTTTGTGCGAAGTCTGAGGGTTAAGAGATGAGGGAGCAGAGCCACCCTGAGCATCCAGCCCTGTAACACAACCCTCTGTGGAGCTGTCCGGCCTGCGGGTAGACGCACCGTGGAGTAGGAAATGGGTGCCAGAGACCCAGGGTTGTCTCGACAACTCCTCCTTATGCTGGGCTGCAACCGATGGCTGCACTTCCCTGTTGGCACCTCTGTTTGACACCGAGTTCTTCTCCACACAGCAAAGATGTATGAGCTTTCTCTTTCTCTATCTACCTGGTCCCACAGGATAGTGTACAATGTGTTCCTCTGGCCAGCGTCCTTGAGCCAAGGGTTCAGACTGCATAAAGCAGGGAGGGCAGGGCAGGGAGGAAGTGAGACTTCCCTCCTCAGCTGGACCAAGCCCCAGCCCACCATCCCCACAGGAACAGCCCAAGGTCACTGGCGACTACACTCATAGTCAGTTACTGTGTTTTCTGTGTGTGTAGCTCGGCAAGGCCATTTCACCCTGAACTTCCTGTTCTATTCTCCGAAGCCAAGAGCGGAGTTTTTCTATCTAATAGATCCCATCCGGTTAATCCCCGATCGGGAGCTCCAGTGAGTGAAGGTGTAGCACCCTGCGTTTAAAGAGCCCAGGCTCAGCCAAGTGTGGTAGTACATGGCTATTGTAATCCTAGTACTCTGGGGAGATGAGGCAGGAGGACCTCAAGTTTGAGCCAGGCCTGGGCAAATTAGCAACTCAGCAAGATGTTGTCTCAAAATAAAAAAATAGGGCTGTAGATTTAGCTCAGTGGTTCAGCCGCCTGCCTCACAAGCACAAGATCCCAAGTTCAATCCTCAGTACCCCCACAAATAATAATAAATAAATAAAGTAAAATAAAATAAAAGTCTGGGGATATAGGTCAGGACAAAGGCCCTGGGTTCACTCCCCAGTGTCCTCCTCCTCCCCAAAAAAAACAGAGCCCAGACTCTGGAGCTAGATTATGCCAACATCAGTTCCACATGTGCTAGCTGAGTGACCTTAGGCAACCTCTCTGGTAAAATGAGAATAATATTGATAACATCAGTATCCTTACTGGTACCATGAACCCTCACGATATGAGAATTAAAATGTATGGATGCATTAATATTTAAGTACTTACAGCAGTACCTAGCATATAATAGGAACCACACATAAACATCTTATTTGCCCGATTATGGGTAAAAATCATAAAAAATTAGAGCCTTATAGCACATTAGACACTCCTCCCTGTTTTTATTGTTATTATTATCATTTGTGTTGCTGGGGATGGAACCCAGGGCCTCGCACATGCTAAACCAGCACCCCATCACTGAGCTACATCCCCAGCCCTTCCTAGTTTTAGACCAACCTATTCAGCGTTCTTTGTGGGTATCATGGTTTGGGCACTAGTCTACTAACCTGTGCCGGTCTGGCTTGTCCTCTATTTGGTTCTCAAGAGAGATTCCTCAAAGACCACCCGTTCCTTGATTTATCAGCCCAGGGAGCCTCCTGAGATCAAGAAGCGACATTCTCCCCACTGGCCAGCTCTCTGAGAACTGGGCCAGCCTCAGAGATATCAGCTGCTGCTCTAGGGACAGTCATGCCTACTTAACAGCGAGAGGTTCTTTTTGCAATCAGTGTTTAGATTTCTAGAAACAAAGGGCCACTTTCTTTCCTTCCTGGTCACATGAAAACCAGTTCAACTTGTTGTATTCTTAAGGTTCTGGCTAAATGGCTGCTTAAGTCATGGGTAACCAGCACTTTTGGGGATGGCGGGGATGATTTCAGCCACAGACACATGGCTGAAGGTCCCTAACTATTCTCTCAAAAGGGACAGGGAGGCCAGAGGCTGTGTCTGGGGGACAGAGTGGCCATGTGAATGAGCTGTGGTCCACTGCACACAGGATCTTGCTGACTTCCAGCCAAGCCAGAGTACCAAAGCCAAGGGAAGGCACATTAGCTTGAGGTTTGTGAGAAACTGTACCAATTTACAAGCCATTTGCCTCTCATCAGTTAACTGGCTCTGACAGTTTGTTCGGATAACGGAAATCACAACCACTGGGAACCATAAGAGCTCTCTGGGACAAGTGGTTTCTGAGTGCCATTCCAGTTTTCCAGGGAGACTTGCAAGGAGCTGAGTTCTTCACCTGAGCTGGCCCTCTGTTTTCCGGCTGTGGCTAGCATCACATAGCTCCCCAGCACTGCATAGCCCAAATCAGAACCCAGGTCTCCTAGCTCCCCTGTACAGCAAAAAATCAACACCATGCCAGGCCAGGGCTGGAAGATGATGCCTACCTCTCTGCCACATTGGCCTCTGTGATGGCCCGGGGCGGCACCTTCCAAGGGCAGTTAATGCGCCCACCAGGCAGGCGTTTGAAATCAAACTGGCAGCAGATTTTGGGATCGGGGCCACAGGTATGGGGGACATCGTAGCTGTAGAAGGGCATCATGTGGCAGAAGATGTCTGTGCTGGAGTCTGAGTCTGCAGAAGACACACCATGTAGTCATCCATCGGTGGGCAGCCTCGGGAGCCGGGCACAGGGATGTCGAGGGCATGGATCTAAAGGCAGCCCTGACAGACAGTGAAACTCTAGTGGGACTCAGGCCGGGGGACCTACAGGCAGAGGACAGGACACGGGCCTGAGGGGTACACAGCAGGCCCCACGGAGGCCAGAGGATGATGTGATCCTCTCCTACTCTGACAGGCAGAATACTCTGGCAGTGTGACCTGAGGGAGAATGGGCTCATATTCCCACACCCCTTCTACTCCCCAGTGAAGGCTGCACAGCTTGGACCCCGCTACCCTACCTGGCCTTACCCCATGTCTGCCTCCACATGAACTCCAGGCTGTGGGCGGCAGCAAAGTGTTTCTTGATGGCATAGTGCACCCTCTGAATCAGCATGCTGGTCAGGTTGGCACGGCGCAGCAGGTAAGGCATGGTAGAGCTGTGTCCAAAGGGGTCCACTGCCCAGCCAGAGCGTGGGGTCACACCTGGGCATAGGGTTACAGAGACCCTGAAAGCCTCAAAATTACAGGGCCTGGCCTTGGTCTTGCCCAGCTACTGGCACTCCACTCCTGCCTTGGCAGGGGCGGGAAGATGCCACCACATAAGCCCATATTAGCTCAGAAAAGAACCATCCCCGCCAATCCCTATGCCTTACAGTCCCTTGTCACTGCACTCTGGGCCTAACTGTGGGGAGACCCCCACTCCTGGTCCTGGACCTACCAAGGTTTCTCTCCAGCCACTGGTGTCCCTCGATGAGCTGGTCAATCAGCGCAAAGTAGTGGGAGTTGGCCTCATCTGGCATCACCCAGCCTCCTGTTGCAATCTCTAGCTGCCCGTTTCCCACCAGCCTGCAGAGGAAGCTCCATTCAGGATGGGGCAGAGACCTGTGCCCTGCCAACCAGATGATGCCAGTGTTTACATACACTGGCTTCACAGCCAGTCCACCTGAACCCAGAACGAAGTGCACAAATAATGGCTCTCCTTCCCCCACTAGCCCGTCCCATGTCATCTAGGACCTACATATCATAGGACAGCATCTGAGCTCCCAGGGGAGGCCCGATGCCCTCTCTTCACTGATGTGCCATTAACTGGTGTCTCTGACACCAGTGATCCTCACACCATCACCCCCATCTCTGCCATAGCTCCCTGCCAACCCAGCACTATGGCATATGGCCTGACCTGCCCACCCAGCCCAGGACTCGCGTGACAGCCCCCAGAAGTCCCCCATTGCCACTGGCCTTCGGACTGCTGTCCTCTTCTGTGTACTAATGTTGTCCCACCACTTGGCAAAGAAGGAGACTTCTGCCCAGAGGAAGCGCCAGCGGGAGTCCTCCTGCAGCTTGGACACCATGCTGTTGAGGATGTGCTGGGTCTGCTCTGTGTAGTACTTGTCGAAGGTCTTGATCCAGCCTGGGGGACCAACACAGAGGCCCCTGAGGACTCTGCCTCCACCTCCAGCCACCTGTCCTCTGGCTCCCTCCCAGTGTCCCCACTGTGGGCTCACCTGGGTCATTGTGAGAGTGTGGTACCACGAACACCTGCAGGTCTTCAGCATCCCAGTCATGCGGGCTATAGGAAATGTCGAAGCCCTGCCTCCACACACCACCCTCCACGTTGTCGAAGGGCAACTCCTCTGACACTGTCAGCATCTGCCAGGCAGGAAGGCCGCTTAGTGCCCCATGCATCCCCACTACAGGTCACTGCCAGCACCTGCTCTTACCTGTAGCTCTGGCTTCTGGCCTCGGCCCCCCAAAGCAAACTGGCAGTCCTGGGGGGACACAGAAAAGAAGCTGGGCCGGGGCTCCGGAGGCACCACCCAGGAGCCATTGGCTGTGTGGTAGGGCAGCAGGGCAGGTGGGCCCTCCGCATTGGCTGTCAGCTCCAGTACAGAGTCCTTGATGTGGCTGATGATCTCATGGTTCTCTTCCAACAGCTGCTCCAGCTGTTCGATGCGGTTCTGCAGCACGGAAATTTGGCTCTGCCAAAAAACCAGAATGCACTCAGCCACGGCTCCTTAGGCCCGGCCAGGATGTCTGACTAGGGACCCCCTGAGGCCTGACTGTGAGCCCTCCCTCTGCAGAATTCAGACTGTGGGCCTCCAGGGATGAAGAGTCCTGTGCACATCAGCCTGAGGACTGGATCCACTTGGAAGCACCAGCATTCTCTACGTCACAGCTGGCAAAGATTTCACCTCATGTGCAGTGATTGGTGCTGCCAGTCTAGCGCATGGTACCCAGAAGGATTGCAAACAGGGCTTAATGGAAGAAAATGCTGCAATCAATTAGCAATGTCTGCCGAGAACTCAGGAGGACAGAGCAGCCACACATGCTGACATTTTTTTCTTCTTCCTTTTTGCCTGTTTTTTGCTTCCTACTTGGGCTGGGGATGTAGCTCAGTGGTAGAGCAGGTGCTTAGCATTTAGCATGCACAAGGCCCTGGGTTTGATCCCTGGTAGCACGGAATGAAGGAAGGAAGGGAGAAAGAGAGGAAGGGTGAAAGGGAGGGAAGGAGGGACGAAAATCTGCCTGGGCTGAAATAACTCTCCAGCTCAGTGACAACCCAAGACCAGGTGACTTGTAAAAGTGATCAACAACCAGGCATGACTCACCCGGGGGAAGTTCCCACCATTCTGGTGTCGGGCAGGATCATGCTGCACTCGGTCCAGCATGAGGTAGAGGGAAAAGACGGCCACACAGAAGATGGCAGCCCCACACACCGTCACCTGCTTCTTCAGCTTCATACTGGCCTCTGCGTGGACCTGGGAGAAGGGACGCCATCTGTAGCTCTGGCACACAAAACCCTTTTGGTGGTCTTTCCATTACACGCCCCAGTGAGTTCCCCAGGCTATTCTCAAGGAACACCTATTCCAGCTCAAGCACAAAGCAAGCTTTCTAAGCTTCAAATCCCCCCACACAAGTTGTGGATCCTGACCCAACCACGATATCCTTCTTTTGGCCAAGAATCCAAAAATACAATTAAGTAGCAAATCTAGGACTGGTCCTGCCTGGACCTGGAAGTGAGGAGGAGGTGTAGTATTGCCAGCCCTCAGCTAAAGCTGTAAAATAAACGGGTGCAGGATGAGAGTTCCAAAACCCCCCACACACCGACCTGCTTCTTCAGCTTCATACTGGCCTCTGCGTGGACCTGGGAGAAGGGACGCCATCTGTAGCTCTGGCACACAAAACCCTTTTGGTGGTCTTTCCATTACACGCCCCAGTGAGTTCCCCAGGCTATTCTCAAGGAACACCTATTCCAGCTCAAGCACAAAGCAAGCTTTCTAAGCTTCAAATCCCCCCACACAAGTTGTGGATCCTGACCCAACCACGATATCCTTCTTTTGGCCAAGAATCCAAAAATACAATTAAGTAGCAAATCTAGGACTGGTCCTGCCTGGACCTGGAAGTGAGGAGGAGGTGTAGTATTGCCAGCCCTCAGCTAAAGCTGTAAAATAAACGGGTGCAGGATGAGAGTTCCAAACCCGAGTGCAACCATCTTTCCATGGGGTCTGGCTCCTGGTGCCTGTCCAGGGTCTTTGGTCATTTGCTTCACCTTCAGATGAATAAACTGGTCTATTTTATTTGATTTAAAAGTACAGCCATGGGCCAGGGATTTAGCTCAGCGGTTTGGTGGCCTGCCTTGCAAGCGCGAGGACCCCAGTTCAATCCCCGGTACAAAAAAAAAAAAAAAAAAAAAAAAAAAAAATGTGATGCACCCCTGTAATCCCAGCACCCCTGTACTCTATGGGAAGCTGAGGCAGGAGGATCACAAGTTCAACGCCAGCTTGAGTATCTTAAAGACTTATATCTCAAAATAAAAAAATAAAAAGAGTTGGAGATATAACTCAGCCCTCGGTTCAGTCCTCAATACCGCAAAATAAAGGTATAGCCAAAGGCCAAAGAGACATGAAAGTCTACCTCTCTACCCGGTTCCTCTGGGATCAGTCTCAGCAGAAACTGCCTGGCACAGATCCTGTCTCGGTAAAGACACGGAATACATTTCTAAAAAGGAAGGGAGGGAGGCAGGACAAAAAGAGAAAAGGAAGGAAAAATGAAAAGAAGGCTGGGATGCAGCAGCAGTGGTAGAGCGCTCACCTGGCATGCGAGGTCCTGGATTGGATCCCCTGAAGCGCAAAAAGAAAAAAGGAAGCTCTGTTGCCGATACAGCCAGTTCTACATTCTCCCCGTTAGCTCTGATTCTTGCGGTGCAAAACTTTCAGCCTCGGCCGGCAGCGCAGCGCTCGGGTCCCGGAGCCGGGG